CATTATTTATTTTATTACTTTTCATCAAGAGAGAAATTATAATTAATAATATTTTTTATTTTAAAGTTTGTCGATAGAATAAATACTGCGTCACGTTTGTTCATTTCTTATAAATAGATGCATGATTCCGAGGGAGGAGGGTGGGCGGAGGTACGATGGGGAACATATAAAGTTGGTCGTATAAAATTTCCAAAAACCTTACCAAAAAAAGTAATTAGGGTTAGTGCTTAATATTAATGGTGTAATCGACGTATCAGGTTAAGATCGTGCGTCAAGTGATGAACGTGGATGCCGACATTTAGCTTAACGAGATTAAAAATTGTGAACGTACAGAACGGGAAAATTTACTGACGCTCTATGAAAAAATTTCGATCACATGAATTTCTCTGTCCGGGCACATGATCTCGACCAATGACTGTGATACTAATATTAATATGTGAAGTACTAAAATTGACCGCTCCGGACTCCCGTTTCCTAGTATATGTAACACAACCAGTGACATCAATTTACGAAACAACAATAACCACTGACTGATAAAAAATGGCGCACGCCAACGATAAAAAATGGTTGAAAGAGAACGTTAAATTCTATCCTTATGCTGGCTTACTCGATAGACACTGCGTGGGCCATGGTGCATTTGGTATAGTTTCCAGAGCACAAGTAGCAACATCGGGCATCACTGTCGCATACAAAATGATCGATCATTTGGACGAAGACGAGTCCTTTGAGTGCTATGTAAAAGAGGTTTGTAATAACATGTGAAGGAAATTTCCGCTACAGTCTACGGAACAGTGGTTCTTATGCTTTGTTTATTATAACACTCCGTTCTAGGTCAAGATCCATCATAGTGTAAATGAACATCCCAACATTATCGGATTCCTTGGCTTTAGTATAGGTAACAGTTCAAACTTTCAATGTATTAGAAATGGGCATAAACATAATACCCTTTCGACCTTTCAATAGATACTGATGGAAGATACTTGATGGTCTTCGATTATGCCGACAATGGTTCATTACGGAAATACTTATCGACGAAAACTATCAAATTAGATTGGCGTGACAACTATCAACTCGGATTCGATATCATTAAGGGACTGACATATATTCACAAGTTGGGAATCCTGCATAAGGATTTAGTAAGTGTATTATCTATTAATACGATTATTTTACTTATGTGCTGACATTGCTTACGTATTACAAGTCTTCGAACAATGTATTAATTCATGGAAAGACGGCCAAGATTGCGGATTTTGGGACATCTGAAAAAATATTACAAAAAAAATCTGACTCAGTATCAGAGCACCGAGGAACTTGTGCGTACCTCGATCCTAAATGCTTTAGCGACGACGATGATTATAAACGAGACGAAAAATCTGATATTTTTAGCTTTGGGATTATTTTATGGGAAATATCCAGTCGAAAATATCCATGCAGTGAATTGGACAGTATATCTGACATTAAACTTTATAGACGGAGTGGTGGTCGTCATGATGTGATTCCAGGCACACCAGAGAAGTATATAAGTTTGTATACTGAATGCTGGGACGGCGATTCAAAAAAAACGACCGTCCAGTGAACAATGTTATCACAGGTTAAACAAGATAATGAGCGTAGCAGTAAGTCTTATCATAGTAATAGAAATTATTTAAAAGACACGTTGTTTGAAAAATGCTAATAGATGTAATATAAAATCATTCAGTCACTACGAAATGAATGCATTCTTGCAATCGGAGACACTGGCCTCGGAAAAAGTTTTACTGCAACAATTTTTGGCGCAAAAGATGCAAGAGTTAGTCATGTAACCAAGTCCACAACCTATAAAGTTATGTTTTACGATATTGGAAACGGGAGTGTCTACGTGGATACACCTGGATTTAACAATTGTTACGAAGAAAAAACTGATGATAAAATCATGCGCTCGATTTTACTTAAGATGTTGAGGGGAAAAATATCCAACATTACAACCATTTTGTGGTTTGTGGCATGCGATTGTAAACCAACTGCCTCGCTTAAACGTCAAGCAAGGTTTATAGAAGCTGTTGCGCGAGACTATAATGGTAATGTATGGGATAACGTTATCATCGTTACAAAAGGCGATGAACGCGGAGAAGGTCCTATAGCTGCTGCTAAAGAGATTGCTAAAGAAATTTACAAACAAAAATATTATTGTGAGCTAGACGCGAATGAGAAGTTTTTTAAGAATACTAGATACTTTGACATTTGTCTATTCGAAAGTCTCAGCGAGCGTAAACAAGAGTTTTATCGAATATTGACCAGCGATACCATGAACAACGATCATAATATCTTCAAAATATCTGAACCGGAACGAATTTTTGCAAAGTACAGGTCGTTGATGGAACGCCATGTCAATCATCCGATTGTGCTTGCGTTTAGAAAACTTAAATGCAAAAATTGTACCGAGGAAACCGATCCAAGGATGGCCGATCCAAAATGCCATTCAGAAATAAGAAGAATTGATTTTGCTAAATTAGTGTGCTCGAACTGCAAACGGAATCCATTTGAAAGTAGAGGGTGTAGTATCGAAAGAAAGCACGTTTGGACTCGATAATTTTTAGTTTTCGTGGAAATTTTTGGATAAGTTTAAACTTCAATATCACGTTTAGGATTACTAAAGTGTAGTAACACACTGAAGAAGGATTACTAATGTTTTAATTAACAAGTCAGGTTGCAAATTGGCAAACAATATTTAGAGTATTCACATTAGTATTTGAACAACGTGTAATGGAAAAAAGACTTTTATAAACAAACTTTTTGTTCATGCTTGATTTATTATTATTGTTAAAATGTGGCACTCTTTGCTTTTCAAACCTTAATCACTGATTGCCTGTCAATAAAAACATTTATCGTTATATTTATGGTCCTAAGAAATTGCTTATATGCATGACCGACTGTATTTTGTATTAGGACTTTCTCATGACACTACATCAACGTACAATGATAGAGGCTTCGTCTATAATAGTTCTAAAAAACTTGTGTAAATAAATTCTATGGACATACTTCTACAAGTGTAAATTCAAAGCAGACTTAACCGACTGGCAAATTTGGTTTGTAGATACGTAAGTATTAAGCGTAACAAGTTGATATATGATTTAGCATTAGAAAATGTTGTTTATATAACTCAATTTAGTTGCAACATTACTATATACGCTGAAAGGTTCAATCTGACATGCATTTGGTAAAATTGAAGACTAGCCATTTAATGTAACAGGTATGCAATTTGTGTTCACAATGGAAAAGTCTAAAATAGATACGATGACTGTTATAATAAAGGCGTCATATTATATTTTAGTTCAATAGTGTAAATTAAATCTAATGTTTTTCACAACTTGGAACTCGATAATAAAAAGCGTTAAATGCACGTGTTTCTGCATAGTGAAAGTATACTTTTAGTTAAACTTATTTAATGTGGTTACGTAACGTGTGCATATTGTGGAAACAATGCAACTTTTGTTGAAATGTACTTATAAATGTTGTAAACTACATGGAGGCTTTTTTTACAAATTCAATCGGTTCTTAAATATGATGTACCTTTGTATAATGTGCTTATAGAGGAGTCAATTATATGATCTATTCTTTTATGTCGTAACTAATAAGATGCTGGACAGAATTTGTAACGTACAACTGTGAAAGAAATAGCATACGAATGTGAGTTTATACAAAATAATAAATCTATCTAGAAAAAGAACAACGTATAATTATTTTAGACAATGATTAATAGTCAGACAATTCAAACGTCAGCATACTAACATAGGATTATGATAAATTGTTAATTTGACTATAAATTAGCAACGCCGCTTCTAACAAAGCACATATAAACACTCACAAACACTCATAGACGCACTCGCATACGACATCATAATAAATATCTGACAAGTGATAAGAATGATTTTATGCAACGCTCAAAGCTATCTAATCAAGTGTAAGCACGTTAGTTGTTTTTTCATAAAGGGGGGTTTGCTTTTAATAGCGTGCGGTAACAGACTTCCGTGCCGAGCCGAGCCGGTATAATAAAGGGACGCAATAGTGGCGTAAACTTTCGTCTTTTAAACCGATTCTAGCGTTGTTTGAGGAAATGGGACATTATTGCATTTAGAAAAGGGGGGATGCTTTGGCACATTGTAAGACGCTTGGAAAATAAATAGTATTACACTTACGTTTACAATTACAACAAGTCGAGCAATAAAACGTGTTTATTTTGTTGTCGCTTTATGACATAAAGGTACAGCATCTTGCTTTCAACAATTGATCAGCATTGCATAAGTCAATGGCATACTCGCAACGTCATGCAGAAAGTCGCTAAAAATAGATCCATGACCAAGAAACAATGCATCAATGAGAGAAATGAGTAGTTTGTATAGTTTGTCTATTTGTGGCATTATAATTGTATGCTGAAACGAAATAATCAGGGATGATCGAAACAGAGTTACAAGACTGCATGTCTTAAGAATGTACGTAAAAATAGAAACCAATACAAATTAATAAATTGACAAACAATGATTGTAATAATAATAGCAACCATTTCCAAATTTGATGTAACAAATATCCCAACATTCACATCACGAGTATTTCCCCCGTCGTTTTTTCATCGGCTCATTTCCTGCCTCAACTGGAAATGAAATGTAACACTACAAATTTCACTCTCCTTATTTATCCAATCATAAATTAACATTGAAATCATTCCAAGGGGTGTTGTTCTGCTCAACGTGCTCTCTCTCTCTCCATACTCGTTCTCTTATAAAACCGAGTGACTAACAAAGACTGTCCAAAGAGTGAAAACCATCCCCCAAAATATCCCATTCTATATAACATCTTGTTACTGGATAAAGAATTTACAATTATTCATTATACGTCTTTTTTTGCGCTAATTTATTGATGATTTAATTGTTCAATTTAATTGAAAAACGTAAGTCTCGACATGATTCATTACGACAAAAGAGAGATTGCACATAATTAACCTCTATTCTTTTTACAAGTAAACAATGGTTGTGAGAGAATCAATAACGATTGCCAACGAAGGAATAGAAGAAATTATAATAAATGGAAAGACGGGTGAGCAAACAAACGAAGGGTTTGCCACTGATGATTTGAGCAGTTTTGACGTATGTAAACTCCAACAACGTTTGCTAGGCAACAGAGTAAACAGGAGTGGTAACGGTATTGCATATAAAAGTTTTCTGTTCAATAAAAGAACACAATCCCTCGATTCTCGATTCCCGTTCCCACTACCTCAGAATTACGTTTGATTCGCCAAAATTCTCTTTGCCTACATACAAAAAGCTCTTGTTTTTCGCATCAAAAACACCTATTTTTATTAAAATCACTTGTACCATTTTGCACAGGATACCACCACGTCTACAGATTCGTCCACACCGCCATCAATTTCCGACTCTCCAGACCCCAAATCAGATCAACGTGTAGCACTCACTCGCACCGTAGAAGCACTTCGCGAGAACCCAAATGACATTTCGCTTCTTATTTCTCTCTCTGAGGGCTACATCACCCTCAATGACCTCGATCTCGCACTCGAATGTCTCGATAACGCAATAGAACTGGATCCACGCAACGCAGAAGCGCTTGGTAAACGAGGTGACTTGTATCAAGAATTGGACAGATACAACGAAGCACTTGAAGATTTTACTAAATCGCTCAAGATAAAACCAAATGACAGTTTCACTCTAGCGGGAAGAGGCGCAGTATACAGGATGATGGGAAAGCTCAGTGAAGCTTTAAATGATTTGAACAAGTGTTTGAAAATCGATCCTAAAGATCAGTTTGCACTGAGAACCAGAGGCGAAGTGTATTGCAGCGTGGAAAAATACGAAAAGGCTATCGACGATCTAAACAAGGCGTTGGAATTAAAACCAGATGATGTCATTGCATTGGGCGATCGTGGAGAAGTGTATTATTTGATGGACAGGCTGGAGGATGCGCTTGATGATTTTGCCGCTGCCTTGGAATTGGACCCTAAAAACATCTTTGCCTTGACAAAGAGAGGGGCGGTATTTTATCGTCTTGCCGCGTACGAGAATGTGTTGGAAGATCTTAACAAGGTATTGGAGCTGGAAAAAGACAATGCATTTGCACTGAGATATAGGGGATCTGTGTATGGTCTATTGGGCAAATACGACGAAGCATTAGAAGACATGAATCACGCGTTGAGGTTAAATTCCGACGATGCGTTGATACTAAGAGACAGGGGAGAACTATATCGGAAATTGGGTCAATACGACAAGGCATTAGCCGACGTCAATAGATCTTTGCAATTAGATCCACAAAACGCGTTTGCGTTTAGAATACGCGCTGCTGTATATTGTCGACTGGGTCAATACGACGAATCGCTGACCGATCTACAAAAAGCACAAAAAATCAAACCGCACGATTCGTTTGCTCTACGCACAAGAGGTGACGTATACCGACTGCTCGAACGATACGACGAGGCACTGGACGATCTCGACACTGCGATAGTACTCAAGCCCGACGACACCTTTGCGCTCAGCACGCGCGGCAGAGTGTATTACATGCTGGAATGCTACGAGGAGGCGCTCGCAGATCTGGACAGTGCTCTAGAAATAAAACCCGCCAATGGCTTTGCTCTTCGCACGCGAAGTCGTGTTTACTACATGTTGAACAGATTCGAAGACGCTCTGGTCGATTTAAACAAGGCTCTCGAACTCGAACCGAATGACACATCTGCTCGAGCAAGTAGAGGCGAAGTGTTTAGAGTGTTGAACAGACATGAAGAGGCGCTTGTCGATCTTGACTGGGCTTTGAGACAGGAACCTGAAAACGTGTTTGCGCTGGGAAACAGGAGTGAGATATACAGATCGTTAAAGAGATTTGATGAGGCGTTGGCTGATTTGGACAAGGCTCTTGAGATTGAACCGGACAATCCACTTGCATTAAAGAATAGAGGGGAAGTGTTTCGAATGATGGGATACTATGAAGACGCGCTGGGTGATTTGGACAAGGCATTGCGACTGCAACCAGACGATGCGTTTGCCCTCGGAAATAGAGGAGAAGTATATCGTATCCTAGGAAGATACGACGAAGCGCTAGCGAATCTCAATCAAGCGTTAAAAATTGAACCGAGTAATACGTTCGCACTAAGGATAAGAGGAGCAGCCTACCGAATGATGGGACTTTATGGAGAAGCGCTCAAGGATCTAACGAAAGCGCTAGAATTAGAGCCGGATAATGCGTTTGCTCTGCGAATAAGAGGAAATGTACATAGAATGCAAGGACGATATGAAGAGGCTTTGGCCGATTTGTGCAAAGCAATAGAAGCAGAACCCGATGACGCGTTTGCGCTAAACAGTCGAGCTCAAGTATACCAAATGCTGGAAAAATACGAGAACGCACTGGCTGACCTTAACGATGCGATTGCGCTCGAACCCGACAACAGCTTTACTCTGCGTTGTCGAGGTAACGTCTATCGATTACTACACAGATACGAGGAAGCGCTAATAGACCTCGACAAGGCGGTCAACCTTGAGCCTAACCATGTATGGGCTCTATGTTATCGCGCGCAAGTGAATCACGCTCTTGGCAATTATCAAAAGGCGCTACAGGATCTTGACAAGGCTTTAATAGTACAGAACGAACATTGGTTTCCGCTTGTTGCTCGTGGAGCAGTGTACAGGTCGCTTGAAAAATACGACAAGGCTCTGAGCAATTTCAATCAAGCGCTTCAGTACGAACCCGAAGATGACTTTGATGTTCGATATCAAAACGAGGCATTGATTCATCGAGGAGGTATATACGGTATACTTGGGTGTTATGACGAGGCGCTGAGAGATCTCGACAAGGCGTTACAAGTCGAGCCGGAAAGTGTGTTTGGATTTTGCGAGCGAGGTGCTACATATAGGGCAATGGGAGAATTTGGTTTGGCTCGGTCTGACTTGGAAAAGGCGCTCACGCTTGATCCTGCAAATCAACTCGCATTGGGTGAGTTGGATAAAATTAATAAATTGCTCATGAAAGGCAATGATGAACAGCAGGATCATACGAGTTGTAATGGTGTTGAGAGTTAAATTATAGTAATTTAAAAATAACTTGACGTTTTGGACGATAGATTTATTATATAAATCCGATATTTACTTTTTTTAAACTTTAGATTTGAGCATTTTTAATCAAGATAAAAAAAAACCACAAATACAAACAAATTAAACAAACAAATTAAACAAACAAACAAACAAACAAACAAACAAAAAAACAAACTTAATAAATTTTGTATCCTGGGGAAAAAAAAAAGTTTCCCACGTATAGAAAACTTACAGTTATCTCTAATAATAAACTTGAATAAATAAATACGCATGGACCCTGATTATCATTAACGCATGTGACGATACCTGATTTAGTCCTCGGAATAAACGTCTCGTAACTCTAATATCGATTCTTTGACTTGCAAAAAGTCTTCCATTGTCAGCCCACACGTGCCTTCCGCGTATTCGGGAAATAGTTTGAAATTCAATCCTTCCAAGACATTCACGTATCGCTCCAACAGGTGCCGAGGCTGGTACGAGATTGTAAGATGAGACAGCATGGGAACCGATTTTACCTTTCTTTGGGCTGGCTCCCTTTCAAGAAAAAGAAAAAGAGGCGATGAGTAAAAGGAAAAAAAAAAACAAAACAAAAAACCATATATACAACGACATACGAGCAAAAAAATTGCATTACCCCGACACGTTTATAAACCCGTCAACAGTAAGAGACTTGAACATTTGTGGAAACGATGATGGGATTGGGTAGGCGAGTTTGACGTCAAAGCTAAAAATATCGAGTAATGAATGAATGGTATATATTTTAAAGAGGTATAGCTTAAAATTTGTCGCTTACTTTGTTGTATTCGCACAGCGTAATGAATTAAACTTGTCAAAGAGTTTTGTCTTGACGTCGCCTGGTTTCTTGCATCTATATCGCAAAATTGGTAAACCGGGTCAAAAAGTTACAATTGCTGCAATGAGTTGCCGTGGTTGCCACGGTTGCCACGGTCGCAATGGATTATGCTATACTTACACCGTCTTGGATACAGGCACAAATACTTCAGGAAATCCTCTTACGACCACCGATTGTGAAAACATGGGCTCCAACTTCTTGTAAAATCAAAAAACCAATGAGAAACAAGCCCTACTCGCCTCATTCGACTCCAATTCCCAATACCACATACATACATGGTTATCATCTTCCGTAGCACTAAAATACTTGATGCGACAAGCATCTTTTCCATTACTTGTCGATATGCTCAGGTCAACGTCGTCGCCATATATGGACAATGGTAGAGGAAACGCGACTCCTAGCGAGGCGATTTTTGTATCTCCGCGCCAATTCAGTTGATCCAGCAAATTCGGCATAGTTGTCGAGTTGGAACGCGTCCTGAAAATGAGCGAGTGGATACGCGATGAGCGATGAGTGAGAATGCCGGCTTTGGGGTAAGATGAGAAGTTAAACTTACCGGAATGGAAGGCATGCAGTTTCGATGGCTGATGATAATAGCGCGCTGGTGTGATATGGAAGCTGTAACTGATTTTGGGAATGACTTAGTTGACGGCAGGCGATTTAAAATATATTATTTTTTAGTCTGTCTTTTTTTTTTTTTTACTTACGTTAGGTTTCAAGTATTTCATGCATGACTGATTTGTTAAGAGCGGTGTACTTAAAGGTACATACAAAGACGACATCTGACACAAGGAGACCGTACTGAAGATGGCGTTTAGCATCTGTTTCTTATATTTTCTTTCCTGATTATAACGTGTAAATAAAGCGGGCGGTCAAACGAGTTGTCAGTCTTTTATTAATCAGTTCGTAGTGGTAGACATACTTGATTGACGGCCGCCAAATCAAGACTGTTGGTATTTCCGTAGACTAAAATTGCCTTTTTGGGATACTCGTCTCGCAATGTTTCGATAAAACCGCTTGCGAATCCGCCAAACCCATCGATTATATCTGTCATGACATGAAAGCCCTATCGTGAGTTTAAGCATTTGTTAGTATTAGCCCATGGCGATATTGTCATTGTTGTCACCATACACCTATCTACCTGAATGCTATCACATTCTTCAGCAAAAAATCTAAAATTCTGGTCAAATGATTCTGTTTCCTAAACAAGACAAACCAGATCAGTATGCGTGTCTCCGAATTTACGTTATACCCTCTTTTTTAAACTCACCTTTTCGTGTGCATCAAACGCATTCCGTCCGTAAGTGAATACATCGAATGGTATATATCCGTCCAATTGATACTGGTTTATCTGATTGATACTCTTTGGGTGGTAATACATTTTATTATAGTCGGACCAGGTTGTTACTATGTCATCCAAGTGATAATCGACATCTTCTTCTTCCTGTATGTCCAAATCCATCTGTGTGTGGTTGCTTGTCGGTTCTACCTGGTTGAAATTACGATTAGAGAAAATGTAGCTGACGTAGTGAAAAATATATGGCACATGTGAATACCTCTTCTTCTAGTGATTTCAAGTAAGCATTCTGCTCATACGGTTCTTGTGCATACGTTTCCGTCCTCCCATCCCTAGAGAAACTCGGGATAATTAATTATCAATGTCTTTGCGGAAAAAAAAAGGTGCTAATTATGCGATGCGATGTCCCTTCGCCTACCATGTGACGTATTGATCCGATGACTGTGTGTCTGGTATTTCCCCCTCGTATAATCTAAACTTATTCAATGATCCCAAACCCCCTGAATTTTATAAACAAAAGTTGGTAATAATACTTTACGTATAAGTCAGCATCTCGTGACGGGAAAATTGTGTGAATATATTGCAACCTTTTAAATCGTAAAGCAGCAACCGAGGGGTGTATGTTTCTACTCCCTATACAACTGTTGTCAATAAAAGATAACGAGATTCAGATATACGTCGCGAACCTGTACCTTTTGAGTAACACCTGTACGGAACAAGACATCATGAATGATCTCTGGATTTGGTTCGGTTGAGTTTTCTGAATAAGAAAAGCAAGCTTCCTTGTATCAACGAATAGATAATTATCGATGATTTCATTAGTAATTGACTGAGAGTTGCTTAAGACTGAGTCTGAATTATACCTGCGTGTTCCAAAAATGTGTTCCTACGAAATTTGTAAAATGGCCAAACTGAAGAGTGATTATCTCATGCATAATTGATAGATCATGATTTTTTGACAGGCAAAAGTTTGTATTATATATCATGTGATCTCACAATTTATTTTTATTGTTACACATTGCATAAATACAGTGTTCTCTGCTTTTGGATAGATTTGCATATTAAATGCTATTATTTATACAGCAGGTATACTTTTGTTTACTGTACAAACAATCAGCTTTGGTTGATACGTGCATATCGTTCTCAAGTTAATTTACCATCTATCCAACATATTTTTGACATACAAGTTCTTTTGGAAACGCTGGACTGTCAGCATAATGTTAAACCGCTCACTCAATTGATAATTCGGGCTTGAGCATATGTTATCGACGATAATGTATTGGCAATGTCATGAGCACGCTGTGTGAATGTCTATTATAATATTCTAAGAGTTTACTTTGACAAGCCATCAATATTACAATGGAACGTTCTTTATCTTCCGTACTTTTGCTTAACAGGCCCATCGGACGAAGCCCTTGGTTATTGCAAAATTCGTTAATCAGCACTTTGCAGCAAAATTAATCTATTGAAATCTTTAAAACGTTTATTATTTTTCATGTATCTCATTATCTTATGCTCTGACTATTGGCTCCCCTGCCATTATCTGTATGCATGCTTCATTGTTTTAATAAGACTCGGCCATAATCAGCGTTACGAGAGAAGTCCAACCGGTGAATGGATGACTATGAGAAATAAATTAGTTTATTTCACGCGTTATTAATCAGATCGCGTGTTAATTCTTTACCTTCTTTTCCCTCTCCCGGTGTTGGATGAATATTGTTCCCATACGTATCCAGTGCGCTTATATTCCTAATAATTACAATATATCAGCAACGAGACGGCTAACACTAGACGGGGGGTTGGGGAATTGATCACTTCGCCTCTATTGATCGAGTTGCTGAATACCCTCTTGTATCCTAAGAATGCATACCTTATAGACATTGTTGATGATGATATCCCGTAATTCCTTGTAAATAATCTTGGCCTTTTCTTGATATGGTCCTGGATCGGCTGCATATTTCTACGTATTATAAAATAAGCAGGGATGGGTTAACACGTAGTCTCGGGGATTTTTAAAGTATCACCAGGTTGTCAAGCTTACCCGACGAAGAGCTGATAACACCAAATAATTTACGTTAATCCAAATAGGTCCGCGCCAATACTTTTCTCCCGTGTTGAAGAATTTGTCAGACTTGGAGAGTGATCTAACACCGTATGTAGACCACAGCTCGTTCGGGTCATGTATCAGATCAAGAATAGCTCCGAGTTTAGGTGAATCGCTTGGAAGAATTTCCAAGAGCATTGGGAATAATGATAAATATCCCTTGTGACAGACATGGATTGACTCGTCTGACAAGCAGTTGAATACTTAGTAATCCTTTCGTATATATTTTAGCATTGAACAGTGTGGGCTAAATTTAACAAAGAACTAGAAAAAGCAGTATATGCTAACGTACCTTTCTCATCAACAGAGAGGTCACAAAAAGCTTGATACTTTTCACTCCAATGCAAAGCTAATAGAAGACGTAGTTAATATTTCGTTCATTCATTTCAATGCTTCTCGACAATTCATACCATGAATGTTTTCTACTATATTATGATATTCTTCATCAAAGTCATCGAAATCGTCCTCTTCATTCAATTGCTCAGCTATATCCCTCAGTGATCTTGCCATGAACCCAACCCAGCATATCAAGTCAACGTGAAGTTCAGCTGGATGCGGAGGCGATGGTCGGGGATAATCGTCAAGACCTAAAATGTATGGGCAACCACTCGGTAAGTATTTTTACAAATTAGCAGTGTTTGTAATTATTAGTTATTGGATGTACCAGATGTCAAAGTATGCCCAGGCGTGCGGCCTCTCCATCGATAGGCTTCATGACTGGGGGCTTTTCTTCCCCAGTCTTTAATTTCTCCCCATTGAGTTCTTCTGAACCAACGATAATTAGCACGTAATTTACGATATACTTGGCGTAAGAATAATTTCCCCAGCTCACGATCATATAAATGTCTGTCTCTAATAACTGTTTGGTCATTTGTTGATATGATGTCACTAGGCAAGATTTCCTGATTAATCGCGTCTGCATAATTTTGTGAGAGAGTAGATAATTGTCAGTAATATGAATGTAGTTAGTAAGAGGATAACGTGTATGGTTTTGTACACTACCGCCTATGTCTATATGCTTGTCTCCCTTTGCGTTAACCATTCGTTCTATAAACGCTCTAATTGGCATCAACAAGGTGGGCGGATTTGCATAATGAGGATATTGTGTCTGAAATTCAGGCGGCACCTAATGAAATACAATCATGTCAACCCTGATACGCATCGTAAACCATACTCTCCGGTTCCCGAATGTGCTTACTTTACTTCGTGCTTCTTCTCCCAGTATTTGTTCACGTGCGACCCATCCATTATTGTCAATTAGAGCAACCCAATGCTTGATAATGTCAAGACTAGAAGTTTTAATAAATCAAAATATAATTCTCATATATCAACTCGTTTAAAATGTAAGATATAAAAAAAAATTATACCTCAAATCATTATCCCATTTTCCGATGAGCATATTGTGAAAGCCTTCATCCCTGTCAGTCAAAACGTTCAAGATTCATTAATACACGCGTAGACAGCACACAAACATCTGACATCGTGTTTCATTCATACCAATAAAATCCTCTTGGAAAAAATGGCCGTGATGGCGTGGCGGTAAATAACACGTTTGGAGAAGTCAACTGCGGGTCTGCTGTTCGTTTCTCTATCCAAAATCCAACGTCATTTTCAAATTCTTCTTGATACGCTCTATCTACTATACTGGATCCGTAAAAGTATCCAATTCCCCCTAACAAGTTACTCATAATTGCTTTTGCGAATGATACTTGATCAGCATCAAAGCCTTTTGATTGCAATTGGAATGTCTGTTCAAAACGGTCATCGAATGAGGATTCAAACAACTGAAGAGCTTCAGAAAAGGTGCCGGCTGGTCAAGAAACACACATGTTAGGAAATCAATATAACGTAACATTAAATAAGAGTAAGCGGATTACCATTAAGCTCAGATTCAGCCGATTCAGAATTGAAATAAACGTCAAACTATAAACAGACAGTATAATTATAGTTACTAAATGAATAAAATGACGTGTTCTAATATACTACAATTAATACTCACCTGGAATGGGCCTTCAAAAACCTTTTGAAATGCGTAAAAATTCGAACCTAGACGAACCCTATTCTGCAACGTCAAAATTGCAGACGGTGGAATGTGCTCAAAGTTTTCTATTACCCCCTCCTTTTCCTTAATTGTATTCACAATATTTCCAACAATATAATCTAAATGGTACAAGACATGATTTGATGAATCCGGGATTCAAAGCGTAGAAAATTTTGGTTACAACTTTCTTACCTTTGGCACGCCATATATCACCTTCTGGAATCAGGCTTCCCCAGTATTGAGTTTTGGATAAATCGGGAGCAAAATTTACGGGTATGTTACCAGGTATATTACTATTGGGACCTTATCACTTTCGGTTAATAATTGTAAAACATGTTGATAATCGATTCCGGTCGTAATTGTTAACTTGCTTGTCAATTAATTAGTTGCCTACGTACCATCTTCAATGCTGATAGTAAACTTGCCAAGATCAGGAGAATCTCCGTGAAGTCTGACTGGATTACTTATTCCCTGTTGAATATATGTTTAGTCTTTGCGTTTGCGTTCTCATAACATCAAATAACATTACGCATCATTATATATTTTTACAATTCATACTTGTTCGTCCAATTCATTGACCAGATCAATAGTTCCATCTCCTTCTAGTCCGAAATGATAAATTACGGATATTCTAGAAGGCCCGTCATGTGTAGGCGTTCCAGATATTCTTACACCCCAACTACCGCCTGCATGCATCAGATGATTATTAGCAACACGTATAATGACTGGTTGTTTACTTCGAATTGTGACTTGACGTTAATTTACCATGCACACCGCCACGGACCTTTATGAATTCAGTTTTCAAGGTCACGTTGTTCTTTTCGTCAGTCAGGGTCTGAATAGCAAGAGACCTGCCATCGTGTTTTTTATATCCATATTCTTTCAACCCATCGTTTTGATCGCATGCATAGCGTATCTCTATTGTAACATGTCAAGTAGAAAACGCAACCATTACACCGTACCCAATTTATCTCCAATTGTAACAAAAAATGTTCATCCCCCCGTCATTGCGTCAATTATACAGGTAATACCTTTCCATCCAACAAAGTCATCCACGCCAAACCACATTAGCCCAGACATGAGTGATTCTGGTACGCGCGTTCTTGTACCAAAGTAGAGATTAGGACGATAAGTTCCCCAGAAGAGTGACTGATTTGTTGCATCTCCCGCGCTCTCTTGTAGAACTGCAGAGGATGAGTCCAACGATTGTGCTATCGATAATAAATAATATAAAAGCATGAATACAGGTATCCATTGTTGTTGATATATGACACTCGACGACATAAGCTATAATGAAATTTGTAATAAATAATAATAAAGGAATTCGCGGTCCCAAAAACTATTGGTAACGTGATCGAAATGAAAATTTTAAGTAACACAGAATAAACTTTAAATTGTCGAATGCATATAATAATAAGCCCGTCGGGAAATCAATAATATAATTGGAATGGTTGACTACCAGTCACTTTTGGGAAATTCAGGCCTACTGATCCCTGTTTTAGAAATAAACAAGTCTTGGAAGCGATAGTTGGGTTGTTTTATTTATCATTCTCGCCACATACTATTCCCAGAACTATTGATTTGTGTCATGCCATTTGCTCATATTATGCTTCTAATGTGGGCCCAACCCTTTTTTGAAAGATCAAGTTAACCGTACAAAGAAAGGCTTATCCCACTATTTCGAATTCCTTTGTCTCGCATTTGTGAGAAAGATTATCACGTGATAAAGACGCGAAATATCCGTTGTACTAATATGTACTTTTGCAACATTACTCAAAACAAAATACCCAAATCAGTAAATATGGGAGAAGCTAACCCTAACCCTAATCTCGTACGTCATCAAGTAGTGACTTCTTTTCGACAGTTTGTCTGATACACGTAAACCAGTCAAATGTATTCACTTTGGCCGCGCCGAGAGAATGTTGCTGTACTTTCTACAAACCTAGTAACGGCTACATGCGCGCGCGCATTCTACACTAATAAAATAATTTGGAAAACTGACACTGATACATCCTACTTCTCTCACAATATGTTGTTCAGTGGATAGTATTTTACTGGTATTTGATTTTCGTCTCGGTGAAACGGATACTAGTAATTGAGAATTGATTGCTCAATCCTTCCTTTTTTTATAATCAACAGCCGCGACGCCTCATCAGTCGTTTAAAAATCTATCAAATTGCAATACAGTTCTCTTGCGTTTTAAATTAAAAAACAACCCCGCACTAAAATAAATAATAGTAATAACAGCAATCCAACTTGCGAGCATAGTTTGCACATATTACAATTCTCATCTGCAATATCACGCTGCATTTTATTTCACCCAGATCCGAAAAATTTTACTCCCATCTCTTCTGCATTTGTTGCATGCAATGTCTGGGCTTCTCCTTTCTTCACCAACACATCCAACGCTTTAAGTAACACGGTTTGATCAATCTCGTAAAAATCTGTTCAAGTAGATGAAATGGGGAAATAACCAATCAGTAAAAGAAATGTCATTACTCATCATTCGCACATTGATGACAGCCTTCACGCATATACACAAATCGTTAAACGCCCAACTATTAATAGTCTAATTACCAGTTCCTTCTGATGCTTCTCCGTGTGCTATTTCATACAATGTCATAATTGAATTATTCAATCCATTTTCAGACACCTGCAATCGTAGAAACGACAGGTAAGCTCTACACTGTGGGTAAAATAGTAATGATCTTATGCTAGCATATAACGTGCTACACACCCAATTGGATATACTAGTCGCCCATTCTTCAGGTTTTTTCCAATAAATAAATGCTGACGTCTTCTTGTTTGGTGGATCCCATTCTGCCAATCCTAACAAGAGCGCAATTATAAAAAGTCAGTTTATATATTAACGAATTAGTAACAACCCGATCAGTCGCTCAATCAAAAACCTTGTTTAACCATCATCTTTATAATGCTTTGTAATGATTCTAGCTTCAGCCTCCCTACACAACTCACGCAAAAAGTCAATAAAAGCTGACACAAAATGTTACGTCAACATCAACACCCCTCTCTGCCAAGTGTGTTACAACCCTCTCGGCTTTTAAACTTACGATTGATTGATTTATTATAGAATAGCTCCGTTGTAAGTGCGTCCGATAGGTCTAGTCTATGTATTTTATGAAATCTACAATATGCGAGAATTATCGATATCCACAACTGCGCTTGTGTCTGCCATGTTGCCTCGTTTGGTTGTTGCCTATGATAAAAAAAAGGAAAATAGTCTTCAGTAAGATATTGTAGAGACGTGAACTCATTCAAACGAGTGTTACAACATCAATAGTCTCTGTACGATATATAAATGACTCACGTAAAGAAAGGAGGGAAGTTGTATATTGATGGAAAGGCAAATGCAGACATTGTCAGTTGACAAAAATTGACGTAACTGCAATATATCACATGTCATGGGTAAATTATATGATATGCAAGTCAAATGATCTTCCAATGTGTCATGATTTAAAAACATGATTTCTCCTCCCATTTGCCGAGGACTGACCACTCTCGAACGAAAACTCTTTCATAAATCATTAGAAGTCGTCGGTATACGCGTTCCCGTAAACTCAATAGCAACATTTCTAAAAGTGCTAAATAAGTTAGTTGATCATGGTTATTACATACCGCATAGAAACATTGCCTTGTATCATGGCTAACTTGATGATATGTTAGCGATCTGCTTAACCAACCAAAGTTGAGAAACGTTATAGAAGATCCAACATCAAAATCAACAAAAATCATTTTATTAAAGACAGATGTAGAGAGTTTAGGTAATGTAACCTCGTCCAGTTACTTGATAATTCACTCGGGCGCTCATGTAGTCATTTCACGTATAGATCTTGATCATCTGTCACAAGAAAATAAAGAATTTGTCAAAAAGGAAGCTGTTGGAATTGTCAAGCATACTCTCGAACTAAATTATGATTATTGGGGTGTAGGTAACTGTCACGCCTGGTGTTTTGGCCGGAATGTGTTCAATCATGAGGTTAACTTTGTGTATACAATTTTTTTCAATCCTCTCAGATGAAATATTGAAAGCAATTCTCCCCGAAGGAGATGAAATGCCATCGTCATTTACACAAGTTGGGCATATAGGTGAGAAGTTGGAAAGAATTGTTCGCCATTATATAATATGTATCTGCAGTACGCAAAGTAACATTACGCTTTTCACATTACGCGTATCGTTTGATACAGCCCATATGAACTTACGTGTCGAATGGCTTCCATGGAAACACATAATTGGTCAAGTGATTCTTGATGTATGTAAGTGTCTCTACTCAAAAAACAGAGAATGTGAGTAATATTCATCTAACTTTATCATTTTTGATAGAAAATTCCGACTATCAAGACCGTGGTCAATAAAATTGATATAATCGATAGCACGTTTCGCAACTTTCGTATGGAGATACTGGCCGGTGAAGACAATATGATCACAGAAGTTGTACGTATACGAATATGCAATGTTATGTGCCTCATGTCTGTTATTCACGTCAATTGTTGTCCTCGATAGAAAGAGGGTAATTGTAGATATCGACTTGATTTCTCTAAAGTATACTGGAATTCACGTTTACATACAGAACACGATAGATTGGTGAAGATGTTTAAAAAGGATGAATACATCTGTAAGTATCATGCTGACTGTTAACATTACAAGTTTCTTATACTTGATCCAACTGTTATCCTTTCGACAGGCGATGTGTTTGCTGGTGTGGGCCCATTTGCGATAGCAGCAGCCAAAAAGGGATGCATTGTTTATGCAAACGATCTCAACCCGGCTTCATATAAATATTTGCAAGAGAATGTTATACTCAATAAGGTAGATACGATCAAGTTGCGCGTGCTATTTGTGTAATGTCAATTCTGACTTTATGTTGCTCGTATAGGTGCAAGGCAAGCTCAAAGCATACAATCTCGACGGTCGTAATTTCATTGAAACGGCCGTACATGATGTAGATGCGGCTTTGAATTCACAGTCCAATACAACCAGCTCATCATCTCCTGCTGAGGGCCAAACTGTATTCAGAACTTTTAAACATTTCGTGATGAACCTTCCAGCAACAGCTATCGAGTTTGTTGGTATGTATTGAGTATGTCTTGTGGAATTGCTTCAATGCGATTGCATTAACTAATTTTGTGGTTCACAAAGATGCATTCAAGGGACTCTACAAAGACAAAGAAGCGCTTATTACCAATCCGGATGATCAATTACCAACGATACATTGTCACTGTTTCTCTAAGAGCGAAGAACCAGAAAAGGATATAGTACAGGTACTGGTCGTTGGGCTTGCGAATATTACGTGTGGGGTGTACTTCTACTTATCACCTTTTACGTTTGATATAGCGGGTGGTTACTGTACTTGGCTATCCTCTTCAACCAGGATATAAAATTCATTTTGTAAGGAAAGTCGCACCAAATAAAGACATGTTCTGTATAAGTTTCAAGTTAGATACCAATGTTGCTTTTGGAAGGTGCGTTTAGAGATATATTTGTGATTACACAGTACAATGCTGATGGACACGTTCTCATCAGGTGCTTATTATATTATAGTGCAAAGAGGAAAATAGACGGCTCAGATGTTGCACTTCAAAATGATGAATTTGACGATAATAAAGTCGACGGAATCGCAAAGAAAATCAAAGTGGACATTGAATAAAGATTGTTATTTGGCATGTTCGATCAAGATTGTCTACATTCAGAATATCCCCTATTTCGTAGTGGATTGACATTACTTTTCCTTTAGTCAAACAGGCAATCCTTGATAAAATGTTGGATAAGTCGGTAGACCAACTTGTTCGTTTTCACACAGCATAATCAGAGAATTTTTTCCGTGTGTTGGAAAATAATTTATTACCAATTTTTACAACTTGCTGATAACCCACCTCAATTACCGATAACAATAATTATTTTGCTTTAGACGCCACGTTAGATGCTTTGCCGTCAGGGATACGAATGAAACGTATATCGTCCGACGATGCATCCGTGTCAATTATGTAATATCCGCGTCTCTCAAATTGAATTATATCCCCTAATTTTTAATGATAGTAACAAGGATAGTCAGCATATATAGTTTAGTATTCGTTACTGATAAACTTAACACTAGTGCACTCGAACGGTCTCCATGTTCCAAAATGAACTATTTATCGGAATTACCTTTCTTCAAATCTTTTATATTGCCGTCAGCAATCGCTTCGTCAAGAAATTCGGTCTTTGCTGTTAAAAAGTCCTTGACATCATCATTTTCAGCTAGTTTCTTCTTATTGATTAAATAATCGTAATCAACCAGTGTGACCTTCACCGCATGTTCAGTATCAGCTAACCATGTGATTTTCTTCTTTGTCTTTCTAAAATCACCCTCCAGATGCAATTGCAATTCAATAGACGACACTATTTCAGGGTTGTCTTCTAATTTAGTGATCGACTTTACTATAGCATTGCCCCAGTCCATTAAAGTAATCTAAAATTTAACGAGCACGGCATAAAGAAAATTCGACATCATTGATTACATATACAAAATCACACAATAATTAACAAGCTTCTGATTCTCTGGTTAATTACCTCTTCTTCAAGTCCAAATGTCTTTGCATCTGCTTGATCAATGAATATCTCCGAGCTATAGGCGGTCTTTTTCATACCAGCGTCGGGGTTCTTTTTATGTTTAGGCATATCTTTTGTGTAAGATTCGGCCGGACCACCCGTAATCTTGACCCGAACACTGAAAACATCGAATTTAAATAATACTTTAGTAAAAACTTCTTCATAAATTTACTTCAAAAACACCATACTTACATGTTTTCGGACAAAATAGAGGTGTGTCTTGGTACAACAGGATCAATGATTTTTTTATTAAGAGCCCAAAGTTTATCCCACTCTAACGTAACATCATTTTGCGTCGCTCCTTGCGTGAAAATGTACTGCCTCAGTGCCTCGACTGTCAATCCTCTACGACGAATGCCACGAACAGTTGGGAATCGAGGATCATCCCAGCCTGTTACATGACCCTCATCCACGAACCATTGTAACTTACGCTTTGATAAAAGAGTATATACAAAGTTCATACGACTTTACCAGAAAAAAAACAATAATGCAAAGTAAATACTAGGTAATCCCAATAGAACAGAATCGAGTCAAGTTTCTCATTACCTGAAGTCTCGTATATGAACTTTTCGTAGTCCTAATGAATTGAGTATCCATTCATACTGAGGATTACGATCACGATACTCGTTCGTTCTCAATGCATGCGTTACTCCCTCAACCGAATCAACGATTGGGCAAGCAAAATCGTAAGTCGGATAAACTTTCCACTTGTCACTATAAAATAAACGTAGGTTAATATAGATCATGTTAACGTCTTAATTACGGAACGCTATGCTTTCAACCAGACTTACCCCGTTCGATTGTGATGTAACAAATTGCATCTGTATAAAACAGGGTCACGCAATGCTTTATTGGGATTCTTCATGTCAATCTTGGCTCGGAGACAGCACGTTTGACCCTATAACAAAGAAAAAGGGTTGCAATAAGCTTTGTCTGATCTTACTTTGTGCCCAGGACTATACAATTTATGTGTTGCTTACAAACTCTGTCGCGTCAGTCATTTCTTTAAAGAGTCTCAAGTTCTCTTCAACTGAACGGTCACGATTTACTGACGGTATACCACGCATCCTTTGGTGTCTCATCTGTCAAATGACTGTTATCAGTGACACCATCCGATATATGTAAAGTTATTCAATTTCAATTTCGTACCGTTTCTACATCAGTTTCATCGACATAGGCCAGTCCTTTCTCAATTAACTTCACAGCGTATTCGTACAGTTCTTGAAAGTGGTCCGATGTATATGTCCATTGATCTGGATATATTTCCAACAGTGCCAGGTCCTCCTTTATAGAATCTTCAAATTCTTGCTGAAATTATTTATACTACTAAATTAGGTTTTTATATTTTTGTAGTCAATGCGTCTCCACGTTAACTGACCTTTTCTTTACTGGGATTAGTGTCGTCAAACCTAACGATCAATTTTCCCTTGTATTCTTTGGCAATGTGCTGATTTAACATTGCTGCTTTAGCATGACCTATATGCAAATAACCACTGGCCTCTGGTGGGAAGCGGGTGACCACTTCGCCAATTTTCGCGTCCACTAAATCAAGGTTCATTTTTGCCTCTCTGGAACGGCCAGTCATGTTGCTGTTGGGTGGTATAATAGCTGTGTATGTGTTAATACCATTGACCTGCGGTTTGTTTTATTTTTGCGGTTTACTACAGGGGGTATGAGAACAAAATTTAACAATAAGCGATTGACATAATAATCAGGGGTGCATATCATCAAGGCAAAATAATAATTTTTCCGAAAAAATTTTCTCGAGTGGTCAGATTCAATAAATTTAATAGAAATTCTCATTTAATTCTAACACAAGTATTATCGTTTTCACGATGAAAATAAATAAAACTCCCTTCTAAGATATCGCATTCAGTATCAGAACAACATAGTATATGCTTATTGGTTAACTTAAATACAGGAAAGCATTGATTTAAAGGAAACACTATACTTGTAAATACACTTTGATTTGAAAACAGAGCTTTGTAAGCCGCCGCTTCATGCGGTATGATTTTGGTTTTTTCAAGCTCAAATTTGCTTTCACCATTTTGCCGGTTATCTGGAATAATACTATTAATTTATATCTTGTAAGTAATCAGTATAAGTAGAAAAACCCAAGGCCTCAACAGTAATGTAAGCATACCAGTAAGCAATCTTAATACATTCTTGCGGCAAGTTTTCTATATTAATTTTGTAAAAGCCGTTATTATTACGCCCATAGGCTGTTATGCATATAACAAATAGATGACAATATTAATATTACTGACATGAAATGATTCCTTGAATATTATAGACAGTAGATAATCCAAATTATATCTTACCGGAAATGCATATTTCAGTAATATTAGTATTAGTGTCATCCTTGTGAAGGTGCACTGGAAATATCGTATAATTGCCCTCCATAGTCTGTTGTGTCACATAACAAGTAACTAAAACAACCCTTTGATTAAAACCTTGAATATTTGGCATCTTTGGCAACGAAGCAATAAACTTGTCATCTCGCTTTTCTCCTTTGACGACCGCAACCTCAACAGGTAATTCATCAACTGTTTGAGAGAATGACTGTGGATATCCTGTGATAATGTAGGCTATTTTCAATGTATAATTCTTCCCAAAAAACTTTTTGAAACTAAAACTACTGATTTCCCGAACTTTGGAGACGTACACCTTTGGTGGTCCATTTGGTATTTGTTCAATGCTCACTGCAAATATTGCATCGTTCTCATTATCACATATGACTTCTGCAAAAATTTGATGCTGGCTAATTCCTTTCCATATATCAGAATGGATTTTTAGTGGACGCACCAATGGGTATCTTAAAGGCTTCAATTCATCAATACCATGGTAACAAATTCTTGGTCCTAATACTTTTAGAATAGCAGTTCGCGTACTTTCTTCAAAAATCTCAAATATTGGGACTACATCTCCATAATCTACTATAGTCCAGGTAAAGTAATCTTCGAGTGTTTCAAGCCATTCTTCTTAAGGAAAGAAAAACAAAATTTAGTCGTATAACGAAAAATTTTTCATTTTACAAACTTCTAATACCTGTATCAGTTTCATGCTTGTAAGCTGGCTCAAAACCACCAACAGCTCTACAATTCTTGTTCGAATTGCTAGTTAAATTTTGGTTATTCCGCTTTATTCCACCATCTACCATTGGTGCAGTTCCTGACGCAGCACTAATGCCTATAGTTCCACCAGTTGATTTAATATTAACATTGGTTTCTTTATGCTCTTCCTCGTTTTTGATAATCAACCCTCCTAGTTGTACAGTTCTCGCCCAAAAAAAGCCATATTTCTCGCAAACTTCATTTAATGCATCACGCATTTTTTCCTTTTGACTACTCGACTTCAAAACTCGCTCTACATCGTCTCTAAATTCATCGGAAGGTTTTATATGTTCTCGTTTCATGAATAGTGTCACTCGACTATATCTTTCGAGTGTCTGGCATGATTTATGTGCCACTTTGTTCGATCGCTTTCGAGTAAAGTGTGTGCGTATCGAGCCGGTGAATGGTAACCTAATATCATCAATTAATATTATCTTATGCATTAAGCTACTCATCAAGAAATGTTCTTACCATGGCATATTCAAATCAAGTTTCCATACAATGCCGTTTTCACAAAGTTCCTTGCTACTTTTTTCAAATTTAAGCCTATCGTCAGTTCGATGCGTGACAAATTCACGTCTGTCAAACTTGAAGGCTACATTGTCTGATTGCATTGGTCCTCTTTCGGTCCATCGAATGCCACAATCTAATTTTTTCTCTTTAATTAAACGAGGCATTATGTCTTCGAATTTCTCGCTCCGCTTAATGTAGAGATTATTGTTGTTATCGAGTATCTCGTGGAGACAAAAAGCCGCCTCTTTACTCCTTTGTATCACATACGGCCCTCCTTTGTTGCAAAACTTCATATCGAACTCCATGATGGATTCTCCATTTTCCTCACATTGAGAGAGCTCCTCACGGATTTTCTCGAGAGTTGCTGATGTATCTAATTTACTCGCAATCGGCTCTTTCGAATGTGGATAATTGACAAAATTTATATTAATTATTTTTATTTCCATTTAGTCTTCTTATGCGACAAACGTTCCTAACTATAACTTATAAAATCGATTGGGTTGAAGCTGTAAACGCTTGGTATTTTATCAGCTGACCATTTGTCGATCATTTCAAACCTCGGAAATCAAAAACCGATAACTTGCAAAAGTGACACTTTTTTCAATTCTCGTACAATTTATATATGATAAACTCCTCGTAAACTGATTACATATAGACCTCGCAAACACGAAAACCTATATTTTTTTGGCGATGGTCATAATTATATGAGCGATATTATAATGTAGTACGAAATAAAACGTAAACCGATTCTCGCAATTTCATTAGTTCAACCGAGCAAAAAGTACACAGTCAATAACGACCGCCTGCCTCTGCCCGTTCTCAAAAACGTCATATAATATATTATGTGTACTACGCTGCATATAGCGACCGATTTTGCCCAGCCTGAGGCAGTCGTTATAAATAGAGTTGACTGTACACAACACGATAGGAAAAAAGAATCGGTTAATATTAAAATCTGTGTTCAAAGCTGTTATCACGTGAGACTGACTTATCGAGGCCCTGCCAAAGTACAAATCTCTATAATTTTTGAAGCTAATTGATTCAGATTGTTATCGTCTTAAAGCTGTAGCGACAGCACTTGTGTTACACTATGAACGCCAAATTTTGATTTATCGTTATACCCGGGTACACATGTCAGAGGAATACGGTACTTTATTGCAGTAGCTACTTTAACTTCATACCATTTTTTTCAAAAAAATTTTTTCTTCATATGTTTGCTAGTAAAATTTTGCCTTGTACAATATGACCAGTTTTATCGAGAATTATATACTGTATATTGAACGGATTTATCGAACACTTTTAAATAGTAAAAAAAGGGACAGAAGACATTTACCTGAGCTATCGAGAAACTGACCTATTGAAGTTGACTATGTACTTGTGAATGGAAAGAATTTTTCATAGGTTAGGAACTGACATGATAATAATAAAACCCCACTAGTGAGAGCTCTTGAGGCACTGAAAGTTTAGAAGACGTTTCTAATTCAGTACCTACTTAACGATTAGGGATATTTATACGCAAACATAAAGCTGGCTGAAAGTATAGGCAATTCGTCAGAATTCATTTGTTAGAAAGGAAAATCTATTAAATCATTAAAATGTTTTTCTAATAGGGAAACTAACGTGTTGCATTTAGAGGGGTGTCACTGTATTACTATTACTACAGTCAATTCTCTTTATGATGATCTTCGTTATAACGACCGGTGCCTAATAACAACCGCCTGTGCTCTGCCCATTTCAAAAAACGTTATATAATATATTATATGTGCTATAACGATCGCCCGCAAATGATCGACAAATGGTCAGCTGATACAAGCGTTTCAGGAGTGATTTTAGGAATCGAAAAGCAGTTTATCGCATAATAATGAGACTAAATGGCCATTAATTTAAGTGAAATTAATATAAATTTTGTCAATCACCCACGTTCGAAAGAGCTGATAACGAGTAAATTAGATACATCAGCAACTCTCGAGAAAATCCGTGAGGAGCTCTCTCAATGTGATGAAAATGGCGAACCCATCATGGAGTTCGATATGAAGTTTTGCAACAAGGAAGGCCCGCATGTGATACAAAGGAGCAAAGAAGCGAATTTTTATCTCCACGAGATACTCGATAACAACAATAATCTCTACATTAAGCGAAGCGAGAAACCCGAAGGAGCGTATGCCTACTCTCTCGAAATGGCAACCACCCCAGATAACATTATTGAGGACTTCAAGTTAGGCCACGGTTTACTGTTTGATCAATACGGTGTGCGTCCTGCGCATAAGTGTGCAGTTCGAGCGAATTGGTCCATCAAAGAATCTTCGAAGACTATAGCCTCTGTTCAGCTTATAAACACTCACAGAATACGGGATACCTATACACATGCAAATAACCTTACGCTTGACGAAGACGATCCTCTCTTTAACCCCCCGGAACCATGTTCCCATTTCAAAGAAGACAATCCTTTATATGATGAGACGCTCGATAAAGCGGTCATCTTCCGAATAGACAAAGAATTATGGGATATCAATCTTGCACGTGAGGATATCAAGCCAACTGATGAATTTATTGAAGCAATAATGAAAGCGGTTGAACATAATACACCACATAAGAAATTGGATGATGTATTTTCTGAATATGGACATTGGATGAATTGTAAAATTAAAGTAGGCTGCAGGTTGCAACGATTTACTCACTTTCATGCTCCCGCACTCGGAAACGAAAATTACAAGGATGTTCAGGCAGAATGGATAGGTGGTGAGGGCTTGAGTAAGTATTCCTGCTGACCAACAATGTCCCAAAAAAGTGTTAATTTCAGACTTTATTTTTCAAAACAATTTAGATAAAATTCTTGATGATTGGTCAAAGAGAATACATCCTTTTAAGGGCAACTATTTACTTTCCGCAGACAATTCTTTAATAAAACTTGAGTAAGAACATTGATTTTTGATTTTTGCTAACAAAAATTTAATATTAATTAATATATTTAATGTTAATAGGAAAATAGATGAATGGCTAGAATACAGTCCGAGAACATCTAGCCAATGGAGTGTTATTGAAAGAGCTGACTTTGTTCCAACATATAAGTTGCTAGATAAATCTTTAATTGCCAAGATAGAAGCATTATTCAGTGATGAAACAGAAGTTCTGATGACTGCTGAAGCACTGATAGATCATCAGTATGCTGATCTTTGTCAAGTCAAATTTTCTAAACCATTATTGAGTGATGCATACAAAGTTGATGGGGAAGTCTACAACAATGGAGAAATATGTGATGCTACTGTAACATTATATTTTGCCAGCATTTATGGATTTTTTCTTGAAATTGAATGGCATGAATTTCTGTAAGTTTTCTGATGTATAATGTAATGTGTGTTTTTAATACACTGTTGTGCTTCTCTAATTATTTATTTGATATAAATCAAGTGAAATGGTTGAAGATAGTCATGTTAAATGGAAGTTGTCAGGTAATCGTGCTAGAATTGGTTACTCTAATGATGTTGTTGGTTGGTGTGATCAGGATAGAACTGGAGCAGAACAGAAAACAGTTGAATGGTATAAAAAGGCAGCTGATCAAGGAAATGCCAGTGCTCAATATAATCTTGCCTTATGTTATAACCATGGAACTGGAATAGAAAAAGATGAACAAAAAGCAGTTGAATTATATCAAAAAGCAGCTGAGCAAGGACATGTAAGGGCACAATGCAATCTTGGTGTATGTTATCAATATGGAATTGGAGTGGAAAGAGATGAACAAAAGGCAGTTGAATGGTATGAAAAAGCAGCTGAACGAGATGTTGATGCACAATTTAACCTTGGTTGGTGTTATGTGAGTGGCACTGGGGTAGAAAGAGATGAACTGAAGGCACTTAGATTGTATAAAATGGCAGCTGACAAAGAAAATGCTAATGCACAATATAATATTGGTTGGTGTTATGAGAATGGGTGTGGAGTAGAAAAAGATGAACAAAAGGCTGTTGAATGGTATCAAAAGGCTGCTGGCCAAGGAAATATTGTTGCACAATGCAATCTTGGTTGGTGTTATCAGCATGGAACTGGAATAAAAAGAGATATACAAAAGGCAGTTGAATGGTATCAAAAAGCTGCTAACCAAGGAAATGCTTTTGCACAAAACAATCTTGGTATGTGTTATGCAAATGGAATTGGAGTAGAAAAAGATGAACAAAAGGCAGTTGAATGGTATCAAAAAGCTGCTGAACAAGGTGATGCTGTTGCACAATATAATCTTGGTGTGTGTTATGCAAATGGAACTGGAGTAGAAAAAGATGAACAAAAGGCAGTTGAATGGTATCAAAAAGCTGCTGAACAAGGACATGCTAGAGCACAGTGTAACCCTGGTGTGTGTTATGCAAATGGAACTGGAGTAGAAAAAGATGAACAAAATGCAGTTGAATGGTATCAACAAGCTGCAGAACAAGGACATGCTAATGCACAATATAACCTTGGTGAGTGGTATGATTATAAAACTGGAATAAAAAAGAATGAAGAAAAAATAGTTGAAAAGTATCAAAAGGCAGCTGAACCAAAATATGTTGAGCTGTTTTTAACAAACCAATATAATAATAATAATAAATACAAAACTATGCTGATTACTGAAATTATTGATTATGATATTCCAAGCAATGGTATGTTCATTAAATTCCCAGTTCCCACAATCCAAGACATTCGTAGATATATCCCCAACCCACGTTTGAATGGCAGCCCACAGGTCATTGGAGGATTTTTGATATTTCGTATCTTTTTCAATAAACACATTTCTCAAAACCATAATACCACTGTTGCTGAAATTTCATCCCTATCTTCAAAACTATGGAATTCAGTTGAACCTAATGTCAGAGAGACATTTAATCAGCTGGCTGAGCAGACAATGTCAATATTCAGAGAGGAAGTGCCACTTATCTGGCATCAAGATATTCAGAAACTTGGATTATCTCCATGAATGTTTACAGTCCCAGCAGAAGTTATTGCAGTCAGTTTGAGATGTAATGAGCTCAGCTTGAAAGACAAAAACAAATAAATGAATGACAGACATTAGGGCTACAAATTTTATTAATTATTTAATATTTAGCATGGCTCCTTCAGCATCAATACAAGCTTTCATACCACTAATGCTGTTAACTATGATATTTTTCTCAAGACTGTCCCTTCCTCCCTAATTAACATATTGTAAAGACTGAACCCATATTTTCTTTTTTTTATGTAAGCCCTTTCTTTTATTATCTTTTGGGCAATGATTAACACAAAAACTGTCTTCCAATTTTAAAATATATAGTATTAGCAACTAGTAAGTAACTAATAGCTGTAGCAATGGTGGCCAGCAAAAATGCTTGTCAAAAGGCCTGTGCTCATATAAAATTTTTTTGGTAAAGGAAAATAAATTATTGCCCTACAACATGCAATAAATCCATAGTAATAGCATTGATTTACTCAAAACTATTACTATATGTAAACTAGTCATTGCTGAAAATTGATAATATAAAAAATTTTTTCTATTAGTAAAATAAGTCTCGCAAACACTACAGCGATTTTACTGATACACTAGTCTCTAACTTTGTCACTTACTATTACTATGCCTCTACAGTACAGAATTTAAAAAATTGAAGCTATTATATACATAAGGGCCATATCATTTCACCGAAAATTATTTCACCGACGTAATATTTCACCGACAATCATGTCGTCGACAATCATTTCACCGACAATCATTTCACCGACATATTCACCAACATTATTTCGAAATTATCCTTTTTTGGT